GAGTATCTCCCCCTGATTTCAAATCATTTAGGCTGATCGTTGGTCCTTCTGCTTCAGTCTCTTAGCGAGAAGAGTTGACGAATGAGGTGCTTTACTTGTTGTTAACTTTACACAGGCTTGTTCTTGAACTGGGTTGGAGGACCTTCTGCTAGACTTCCTTCAAGGGTCTGAATTTACTACTTTTATCTAGAGCTGAATTTGATTCAAGGGTGGTGGACACTTGATCTTGAATTGGACTTGTGATTTCTTCAAGGGTCGTCTAGGCTTGATCTTGAATGAAATTGGACCATGAGGAGTTTCACGTGGCAAGTGATCTTCGGCTTTGTCAAGGATAAACAACACGTGTTTGTTGCGTTTGTCTTCACATGCTTCAATGTATCATTTTCACTTGCTTTACTTGCTCCCCTTGCAAAAGTGATATTTTCCTTATGCAGGTTTGGCATCTTTTCTTGTAGTATTTGTCCTCTGATGCATGAGTGGAATGCAAACCTTGCATTTGAATGGTCATTCACTTCTTGGTGACTCATCCATGCGTGGCAGCTTTAGTGTAAAAAGCCAACAACAGACCAATTATTCTGCGGTATTGATGACTTGAGACCCAGCTCCATCAACAGTTGAAGATGAGTACTCGAGAGTAATTCTAAGTAAGCAATCAGGAAAGGTTCCAGGTAGTCGATTCCTTACCGGAAGTTTGAGTGGAGGTTCCGACATATTGCTTTCTTTATCCTTGTCTTTGCAGGTAAGAACAAGGACAAAAGAAAGGACAAGGAGATTGCATGATATGAGATACTCTTGCTCTCGTCCTTGATGATATGAGATAATCTTGCTCTGGTGTGACTGGCTTTGAAGAGGTATTCTCGGAAATGAAGAAAACTGAGTATTTTGAGATGCTTTGTTGAAGATGCATTCTCGGAGATGAGGAAAAGTTAGGTATTCTTGCAAGTCTGCCTTGTTATGGAGAACGAAGGTCGACATATATAAAGATTTTTCAATAGCAAGTAGTGGTACTGTGCCTTTACTCTTGTCAACAACTGTGGTGTAATTAGAATAGTAAGATTTATGCGTTTTCAACTTTGTCAGAGATCTTTGACAAAGTTACACGCGATATCCAAAAAAGCTGAGATTGCGTCTGAAAAATGCCAACGAACCTTATTCAGGAAAATCTGGCTTTTGAAATTCGGAAAGCGATGCCTCTTCGATCTCTGAACAAGTGGCTCTGTTGCCTTTTCTTTTATAGAGACATCAATTGTGTTCAAGAGTATGCTCAGAAAGTTGCTGCCTGTATAAATTTTCCCCTTCTTGCACTTCTGATATTTTATTTGACCTCCTTTTTCCTTCATCATTTCTGAAAATGGTTTGCCCATCTAATATCTGTTATATTTGAGTCTTAGGAGTGACACAGACGAGCAGCGTCATGATAATATATGGCGTTCGTCCTTCTTATCTTCTAATGGTCCTCTTACGGTTGAGAATTCTGTGATGAAGAATAACATAACCGCTACTGTGGTGGCTAGGAATCTTCTCACTCCAAAGGATAACAGAATCCTTTTAAAACGGTCTGATGAGTTGGCCGTTCAAGATTCCTTGGCTCTCAGTGTTCAATGTGCGGACTCTGTATCCAATATAGACCAACACCTACTTGCTCGAACTCACCAAGTTGAATCATTGATGGCTGAGGTGATAAGTCTTAAACAAGAAATCAAAGGGCTCAAGCACGTGAATAAAGTGTTACACGTGCTTGCAAATAATTACTCGACGAGCATGAAAAGAGATCTCGACCAGCTACAGGAATCCGAAAGTCAGATTCAAAGTGATCACCAGAGGTTCGTTGCTAGATTTTGAAGGCAACTGATGCCTTCCCTTTCTGGTGTTTTGTCAAGTACTGGGGTGTCACATGATCAATCTCCAGTGCCTCCCCCTTCTGGGGTACTGCCGAGTACTGAGGCTTCACATGAGCAACCTTTGTGAAGGCTTCATCCTGTTTGTTTATCTGTAATTTCTCAGAGATATTAATAGATAAGCTTTATTTCATTCAATGTATTGTGCCAAATACAATAAAGCATATACTTCACTAAGATGTGGTATTTCTGGACCAAATATCAATTTATCTTTACCCTCACGAAGATAAATGATCATTCTTAGTGTCCAAAATCATTTGAGTATTCAACTCATAATCTTCAATCCATATGATTCTTTAATATCATAAACATCATGGATAAGATTCGTGTTGGTAGATTGTTTGATTTGCAATTCGAGACAATATTTCTCTCAACACTTTATAATATTTCTTGACTCTTTAGGAGTCCCAATTTAATATCATCAACTCTTGCAAGAGATTTTAGTATGTTGCAACAATATCATAATGAAAGTACTCACTAAGGCAATTTATACCATCCATTAGTATTGAGTACATATTTTATGCTTTACCCTTTGGGGCTTACTTCAAGCAATTTGAATCCTTCAGAGATTTTCTACACTTTATGACACATTTTTCCTTTGGAATTTATACAGAGCAATTTGCTTTCATGTATATTTAAGGGATTTAAGGAGATATGACGCGGGCGACTCATAACCCTTTGTATATAATTCTCCATTCATATGAACTTGTTTATAACCTTGTGTTATACCATGTGAGTGTACTTCACGATATTACAAATGCCCATATGTAACCTTCTAGGTTCAACATCTTTTGACTATTTGTATTGTTTTCAAGTATATAGGTCTATTTTTCAACGTTCTTACAAAATTGTAATGGAATTGCCTTTTTCCATTTTGGCCAATAATTTTGTTGACAGAAAAAAGAACAGGACTTAATATCAACACAGTTCATTGATGAATTTAGTAGCTACTTATAAAAACCAAAATTACCATTGGTTATCATCAATCTATGATCCTATAGTCTCAAGTGCATGCGCATGCATAAAAGCTTTTCATTTCTTTGGATATCCATTGCCACTGCAAGGGCATTATACTATCTCTTCCAGGATAGTCATAGTTTAGAGAATGTAGATCATAACCTCCTCTTGAGTGTTATAGAGTTTGGATTTTATTCTCCACTTTGGGAGTTGAGTCATTTGGAACCTATAAGTCTATCATGCTTCATGCATGAGACATCAACATTCCTATGTTCGCGGATTGTCCTTTTTGGGACATATATCCATGCAGCTACTATCATGCTTTTGGCATGTAACAGTTATGCTTCGGTAATGCAATAGTTCAGTAGTGTCATATTCTTCTTCTTTCAAATGACCAAACTTTTTGAGTCTGAAGGTCTGCCACACTTCAGGCGTGTAACAGATAAATCATTTGCTGCCATATTATTTTGTCCAACAGGGACATCAATTCTTGTAGGCACATTTACAACAAGTATATGTGATTTTATCACTTTCTTTGCATCATTAAGTGCATCTGGCATTTGATTTGCACATCTCTGCATCATTCAATTATTCTCACTTCGTTTTTATATTGATTGCTTCATGAATCAAAATAAGACAAATTCTCTTCGTTCTTCTGGAACGGTATTTTCTCATCATTCTTCTGGAATGATATTTTCTCATCGTTCTTCTGAAACGAAGTTATTTTCTCCCCCTAACGGCGGGAAAATTGTCTTATCAAAATGACAATTCGCAAACCACGCGGTAAACATATCCTTAAGTCAAGGGTTTCAAATATTGAATGATAGATGGTGTTCAACGTCAATGCCCAATCCGCGATGATGCCTCATTTCATTACGTTGTGGCAGTGCAATAGACACAAAGATAATACAACTAAAACTCATAGATGTGTAATATTTGGTTAGTGCCCAAACACGAGTTGTATTGAAAAATATTGATGGTTAGCAACATGTCTCAACCGAATTAATTTTTGCATCATGTAAAATGACATGTCCCCATGTAGAAACTTGACAATTTCATTTTCATTAGCAGAACGTGGGTAATCAATTGCATCCGCTTAATAAATACTGATGCTAAACCATTTTGAGTATGGATATAAGGAACTTCTGGTCCTTATTTAATAGTTTGTAGACTGAGACTCTTAGACTTTTATTGCAATTAAATTGAGGCACTGCAGCACTTCAAACTTACTGTACTCATCAAGGAACTTTATGTCCTAATCTTGAGGATCAAGGGACTTCATGCCCGATCTTTTTGTACGATGGAACTTCGGGTCCAATCATTTTATATGATGAGGATCAAGAAACTGCAGGTTGTGATCTAATCAAGGAACTTCGGGTCCTGTATTTACTCATTGTAACAAAAGATAATTACAATATGTAAATTAAAGCAATAGGCGGTAATTCTAGCCATAATAAATAAATTGCATATAAGTAAATAAAGTTTGTGACAAGGGCTTTAATTTAGCACCATTCAGATAAATCAAAACTTAAAGCAGTAGGCGGTAAAACAGTCCATGATAAATAAATTGCTTTAAAGTAAATAGAACTTGTGAAATGATTTTAAATCAACACCATTCACATAAATAAATTGCAGTAAAGAGCTTGTAATGTTGTGGTTGGTGGAGTTTGACAATTCCACTTATGGATGTGTTCGAAATTTGTTGCCCTCACAACAACCTTTCTATCTCCTTTTCGTTTTATTATTTCTTCTTATTCATTTACATGCTATCATTCCAAAAACTTTTGCTTTTTTATTTTTCATTTTTTAATTTATTTGTTTTCTTCCTTGGTTTCCACATGGTGCCTGATGCAACATTATTTTTCCTTTTATTTTATTATTTATTTTCTTTGTTATATTTTCAAAAGGTCTCATTGCTTTTGCCTTATCCTCCAGCTCCTCCACATAATACTTCTTCCTTTGCTTAGAAAGCTAAGCACTTTCTTTGTTTGTCTCTACCAGTCTCGAAACCCAGGACCAGCTCGGTTGTTGTGGAGGTCACACATAACCAATTCAATCCAATAAGGTTACCAGAGATTGGTGTTATTCTTGCATGGCCTAGAGAACATGGCATCGCAAAGCAAGAACTTCCCTATAGGAACATAGATGATAGCGAAGTTGATGGAGGTACAAGAGAGGGAGACTTGTGTGGAGTCAGTCCTGCCATCACCATTTCAGACAACCGAGTATTCATGGGAGTTCTCGAAATCCGTCGAAAATGACGTGATCTGGGTTTTCAAGTCTGATGAGATTCTTTTGGATCTTTGTAAACCAGTTGTCAGGTACGAGTTTTCTTATCTCGTGACGACTATAGGTCGTTGTAAATTTCAATTCTCACCAGAATTCGGTGGGGCCCTTCTGGCGCGGTGGGAGAGACGAAAAAATGGACATACCTTTGCTTGTTTTGCTGTACCTTTGTTTGTCCGAATTTATGGCGTTATGCTTTCCACTAACATGAGAGCTTCTTGTGCTGATAACATGTTGTAAAATCGACGGTGTGTGCAGTGGAATAAATAAAACATGACACAAAATTTACGAGGTTCCTCTACAGTCAGTGTGACTGGAGTACGTCCTTGGGGCAGCGGTAGTGCTTCCATTATAATTTAGAATAATAAGAGTACAAAATAACTCTTTCTTTATTATCCCCTCTCTTATTCCTTTCTTTTCTCTCTTACTCTTCTTCTCTTTTCTCTCTTCCTCTTTCTTCTTTCACAATCTCTTCCGTAAACCTCTTCTTCATCTCTCATTCATTTTATAAGCAATTCACTTTACAAATTTTCCACAAATGAATAGTGAAAATACTGTGCATAAATAGTAACAGACTATTCATGTGGGCCATCCACATTATTCACAACAACATTAAATAATTCAGGAACATTTTCGTCATGTAAACATTATTTTTTAAATAATTATGATTTGGGGTTAATATCCGTTAGGGTGATTGGAATACCCTTGAGCTCAATTGGGTTACCCTCTTTTTCTCCTGCTTCATTTCGTTTGCTCCGTTTGTATCGGCTTCCTCTGCCTCTGTTTCTTTTGGTTCTGCTGCTGATGCTGCTTCTTCTTCCTCTGCTACGTGCAGATCTTCTCCTCCTCCTTAATTCTTCTACTCGAAAAACTTCATTTCATCATAACTTTTTCATACGGCAGCGAAATCGCGCAAGGTTAGAGCCTATAAATTTGTATCAGAACCCTCTTCCATCTAATATGATGCTCACACCTCAAAATCAACTATGCTCAAAGATTGGAGCCTAGAGCAGTGACTGTTTTTGGCGGAATTTGGTCTCGGCCCAAGAGAGAAAGTTGATCCTCTCCTGACGATCTTTCTACCTATACTTGAGTTCGTTGAGTGAATTAATTTTATTTTATTTTTAATTTTTTGTAGTTTTTGGTTTGTGGGTTTTTAATTTTTTTTCTGCACGGTAAAGGAAGAACCCAAAAGAGATATGTTCACTAAAGGACTTGATAGGAGCGCCCTTAATTGGGTTAGAGAGGTTTGTGAGGAAAATTCACTACCCTCTTTCTTTTTTCGAATTAAAAAAAAGGGTAAATGACAAAAAAGTACCTCAACTATTGATCTCACGACACTTTCATACCTCATCTTTTAAAATTGACAATGTCATACCACATCTTTAGAATTTGGTCCAATGTTATACCTCTGTTAGCTTGGCCGTGAATTTCTTAATTAAGTGCTGACGCGGCTTGATTCGGATCCCACTTTCTATTAAAAAATTAATAAAAAATTAAAAATAATATTTTACCATTAAAAAAAAAAAAAAAACCTAAACATCCATCTTCCCCGACCCTTTCCCCTTCCCCACAACCCAAATCCAAAACCCAGATCCTTTCTCCTTCCCCTTCCCTGCAACCCCCGACCCCTTTCCCACCCATGCCAACATCTCCCCAACCAGGCCAACATCTCCCCCCAGACCCACCTCCCGCCAACCCCGTTTGAAAGCCCGTACTCACAATCTCGTTTTCCAACAAAACTGAGTGGATCCAGTTCGCCAACTCAGACCAGGCCGCCGTGAAGCAGATGGCGGTTCAAAAAGTGAGTTCAAACGAAGAGAAGAAGAAGCATTACCGAGGGGCCCGACAAAGACCATGGGGCAAGTACGCGGTGGAGATCCGGGATCCAAACCGCAGAAGCTTCCGGGTCTGGCTAGGGATCTTCAACATGGCGATTGGAGTAACTAATGCTTATGATTGAACAGCGTTCAAGCTCCGGGGTGCTAAAGCAATCCTCAACTTCCCGCATAACCAGCTGTCCCAATTTTGATCTCAAACACACGCTAGCTTCCCTCGCACCCTTTAACCACCCACTTATCTTCACTGTCGTCGTCGTCTTCTCTTCAACCGCTTGCCACTTCGCTGGTCCCCGTTAGTAGGTTAATGTAGTGTCGCTGGAAATGTTTCGGAGAAGGGATGATCGACTGATGTACCTGCAAATCCTAATCCATCTCATTTTCTCTGTTTTCCCCAATTTTGAAATCTCAAGACACTTGTGATCGACGCCGTGAGCTCAGGCCTCTTTGTTGTTGTCGTTTGTACAAACCCTACAAACGGTTTCAGATTGCAGGCGAGGGTCCTTGACAGAATTGACTTGTGAGTCGGGGAGGCGATTTTAGAAAGAAAGAGGGGATGGGGGAAGAAATTAGTGATCGTCGTCGGTGGAGGAAGGTTAGAGGAGACTGGTAAAAGGATTTAATTTAAAATTTGGGTGAAAAAGGGTTGGTGTGGGTCGAAGGGAAGGCCGGATCCCTTAGGCCATTTTTAATTATTTTTTATTTTTTAATTTTTAATTTTAAAAAATATATTATTATTTTTTTAATCTAGTTGGATTCGTGAGTGAGTCCCGTCTTTAGCCACGTCAGCATTTAACAGAAAAAGTAACAGAAAAACTGACGGAGGTCTGACATTGACACAAATTCGTAAGATGAGGTATGACATTGTCATTTTTAAAAGATGAGGTATGAAAGTGTCGTGAGACCAATATTTGAGGTAGTTTTTTGTAATTTACCCTAAAAAAAAAAAATATAAAGTAGGGTTTAATTTTTATTGTTGTTTGATTTAGTCCTCAGCAGTATTCGTGGTATTTTAGTTCTCTAGTGCAAGGCAAATGGATCAAGGTTTGTTCCCTTTCACTAATTTCGTTTCAACTTCTGTTTAATTTAGATCATCAGCTTAATTTCAAGGATTAATTACTCAAAATTTGATGAAACCCTACTTGCAGTTGTGCTATATTTCATCGTCAAATGTTTATACAATCTCTGTGTGGTGCATATATATTTAATTTCTCTCTTCTCCTTTGTAATTTTGGTAGGGTTTAGGGTTTAGATTGTTTGGTTAAAGATTGGATCTTTTTACATGTTCAGCTTGCACTGCTTCTCTCTTTGCGTCGATCGTCTGTCGTGTGAAGAGTTTCTTTTTCTGGCTGATTGCACTGTTTCAAATGGTTTCTTTTTTTTTTTTTTTTTTTTTTTGTCTTTTCTTTGAATGGGAAGAAAATTTTCAGATCGATGGCAAAGAAGTACAGGCAAAAGCTGCTTGTTGTTCTTACCAACTGCAAGTTAGCGAAGAGACTAATAGAAAGTCAAAAGTTAGCTAGAGTTACTGTAGTAATAATTCTTTTACTTTTCCTTTGTGGTAACTTCAGTTAGGTGTTGTTATATATACTCTATAAAATTATTATCTTGAGTTAATGAGAAAAGATTTCATTTTCCTCAATATGGTATCTCTCGCCACAGTCTAACAACCTCGATCCTTTTCCCCAAAATTTTCCCACCTACCAAACAGTCATTTTCTCACCTATCAAGTAGCTCGACTTCAGCTATCATTTTCTCAATTCTTGCTCCGATTTCTGTATCTATGATCTTTAATGGCGGAACACTCTGGCTCATCTTCTCCGGCGATCGCACCTCCTCGATCTCCTCCTGCGATCGTAAATCTGAATTCTTCTTCGCTTCTCTTAAACCCTAATTCTTCATTTCAGGCTTCGATCAATTGGATTACGATCCAAAACATTGGTAGTATGGCTCAAACAAAGCTTAAACGCCACAATTATCTTGTCTGAAAATCTCTTTTCGATCCGATCTTCCGCCGCTACAAGCTTACCAGAATTGTTAATGGATCTGAGCCACCACCGCCTCAATTTCTTGCTGATCTATCTAGTAATCTCACCTCTATTCCAAATCCAGCCTTCGAGCAGTGGTATGAGAAAGACCAAAACATTATCATTTGGATAAATTCTACTATCTCAGAAGATCTCATTCCGTTCATTGTTGGAGTCCAATCTGTCCGTGAGCTTTGGCAAAATCTTGAACGTCGCTTTGGTGGAGTCTCTCGATCACACATTCATCAACTTCGTTCTAGTCTTCAATCCATGACAAAAGGATCATCTTTAATCTCTGAATATTTGTAGCGTATCAAGGAAGTTACAGATGCTTTTGCTGCTGCTGAAGCACCAGTTGATGACAATGATCTTCTACTCATAATTCTCAATGGCCTTCCTGATAAATATCTCATTTGTGGACTCTGTTCAATTCTGTTTGGCTGATACCACCATTGATGATCTTCATGGCTTTCTTCTCAGTAAAGAGATGGCTCTTTCCAGAAAGAAGCAAAATCATGGTTCTTTTTCCAATTATCAGTATCAAGCTTTCAATTCCATCCAGGCATCCACTCAACCTCTACTGCTGCCTACACAAAATGTTCCTCAGGTGCAAGCTTACAATGCTCAAACTCAGCCAAACAAAAATAATTTTCAGAGGAATAACTCACAGCGCAATTATTCCAATTGCAACAAATTCAATCGCTACATTAATACCAATCGCGGAGGAAATCGTGGTGGCAATCGTGGTGGACATTACTACAACAATAATTACAATTCTCCATGCCCTGTTCCTTGTCAAATTTGTGAGGATCCTGGTCATCGTGCTATCGATTGTGTTAATCGTATGAATCCAAACTTCAAAGGGCGCATTCACCTGCCAAACTTGCAATGTGTGCCAACACCACCACCTCTTCTTTTCCACCATGGTTGCTTGACTCTGGTGCAAGCTCTCACATGACAAACAATGTTCACAATCTGCAAAACCCTCAGCCATACACTGGTCCTGACAAAGTCTACATTGGAGATGGCCAAGGTTTGCCAATTCTCCACTCAGGTTCTTCGTTTATTCAAACACCTTCTGCTACCTTTAAATTGAACAATGTTTTGCATGTTCCTCATCTGCAACATGATCTCATCTCTGCCAAAATGTTTCTTTTGGATAATTGGTGTTCCTTAACACTAAATCCTTTTGACTTTAATGTCAATGATCTTACTACGGGGATGATGCTTTTTAGAGGTCCTGTTCGCAGTGGTCTTTATCCCTTCTCTGTGTCTTCTCTTTCTACATGAAGATTCTCTGCAAATCCTGCAATAAAAGCAACTACTCAAATCTGGCATCAATGTTTGAGGCATCCAACGTTCAAGACTTTTCGATTTGTTGTATCAAAGTCTATCTTGCCTATTACTAATAATGTTACTCAGTTTCATTGTTCAAATTGCATCTTGGGCAAATGTGCTAGATTACCTTTTCATGATTCTATATGTACTACTTCTAGAGCTTTAGAACTGGTACATGCTGATGTTTGGGGACCAGCACCTTACTCTCTGTGAGTGGTTATCGGTTCTATGTAATTTTCGTTGATGATTTCACGAAATATACTTGGTTGTATCCTTTGAAGCATAAATCAGATGTCTTTCATACATTTGTACAGTTTCATGCTCTTGTAGAGAACTTGTGTGGAACCAAAATTGGTACTTTACGATCTGATTCAGGGGGTGAATTCCTCAGTTTTGCCTTCAAAACACATCTTGCTACACATGGTATTCAACAACATCTTAGTTGTCCCTACACTCTCAGCAAAATGGATGTGCTAAAAGAAGCATATACATTTTGTAGAGACAGCTAGAACTTTATTGGTTGCATCAAACATTCCTCATCAATTTTGGGTCGAAGCCTTTCTCGCTGCAGTCTATTTAATCAATAGACCTCCACTTGTCTCCAAACCTTCACTATGGGAACAACTCTTCAACAAGTCACCAGATTACACTCACCTTAAGGTTTTTGGGTGTGCATGCTACCCTTGGCTAAAACCTTATACTAACTCCAAACTTGAGGCTAAGAGCAAGGTGTGTGTGTTCATTGGTTATAGTCTAGTCCACAAAGGATATAGATGTCTAGATTTTTAACCAACAGAGTCTACATTTCTCGACATGTTTACTTTGATGAAAGCTCATTCCTCTTTCATCAATCTACCTCTATGTCAATGTCTACATTCCCTTCCACAACCGCCACTTCATTATCTTCATTCTCTCTTACTTTTCCAAATTTATATCCTTCATCAACCTACCAGTCTCCCTCTTCTTACCCTTCCACTTCAGTTCTGTCCCCATTACCATCACACTCTGTATCCTTACCTATACCACCCACAGAAGTCACTCATGTTCCTTCACCCTCTATTAGTACTTCTCCTATAGTACCTTTACCATCACATCCACCACTTCCCATTACCTCTACTCATCCTATGCAAACTAGATCCAAATCTGGAATTTATAAACCAAAAGCATACACTGCAACCAAACATCCCTTGCCATTCTACCCTGAATCTTGAGTATGTCCCTTCTACCTATTTGCAAGCCTCTAAATTTCCCCATTGGAGGATAGCTATGCAAGAAGAATTCAATGCCTTGCAAAGTGCTAGAACTTGGGCATTGGTTCCATCTAACCCATCTCAAAATCTAGTTGGGTGTAAATGGGTATTTCGAATTAAAAGAAAGCTTGATGGCTTTGTGGATAGGTACAAGGCCAGATTAGTGGCCAAAGGGTATAATCAGTAGGAAGGAATCGATTATAGTGATACTTTTTGTCCAGTGGCAAAGCCAGTCACCATCAGAATCCTACTCACTTTGGCAGTTCAATCTAATTGGTTTCTGCATCAATTGGATGTTAACAATGCTTTCTTACATGGCAATTTGAAGGAAAATGTGTTCACGACTCAACCATCTGGATTCATTGATCAAGATCACCCCAATCATGTCTGTCATTTAAAGAAATCTCTCTATGGATTGAAACAAGCTCCACGAGCTTGGTTTGAGAAACTATAGTCTGCATTAATTTCTATAGGATTTCAAGCCTCTCAATCAGATCACAGTTTAATTGTCAGATCACAGTTTATTTGTCATTCACAAACCAGTTCTAGTTCTTGTCCTTATCTATGTGGATGATATACTTGTGACTGGACCTTCTTCAACTGCTTGCAGTGATGTGATATCTCAGTTAAGTGTTCAATTTCATGTCAAAGACTTAGGAGATCTTCATTACTTCCTTGGGCTAGAAGTACAAAGGTCTTCTGCAGGCATCAGTCTAAATATGTATTAAACTTGCTTAAAAAGACAAAAATGGATGGAGCAAAGCCCTATGTTACTCCTCTCGGTTCTGCCAAACTTGACCACACTAGTGCATTGCTTGAAGATCCCGCAGAATATAGACAAATTGTTGGGGCTCTTCAATATCTCACTTGGACAAGGCCTGATCTTTCCTTTGCTGTTAACCTTGTTTGCCAATTTATGCATTCTCCAAGGGATCAACATCTTCAAGCTGTAAATGGATATTGAGATATTTCAAAGGCTCTTTTGGACATGGTTTGTGGTTTCCCCAAGTTTCTTCCTCTCTTACACTCAAAGCCTTTTTTGATGCTGACTGGGCCGGTTGCTCTTGAGATAGACGATCAACTGGTGGTTTCTGTATCTTTCTTAGTCTTTCACTTAGTAGTTGGAGTGCCAATCAACATGTTGTTGCCCGTTCCTCCACAGAAGCTGAGTATAGGTCTTTAGCTCTTACAGCTGCCAAAATCACTTTGATATGTCAATTGTTTACTGATATTGGTTTTCAGTTATCTAGTTTACCTCAGATTTGGTGTGACAACATCTCTGCGATTGCTTTAGCCTCAAATCCTGTTTTCCATGCTTAGACCAAACATGTCGAAATTGACTACCATTTTATTAGGGAGCTTGTTCTTGCCAAGCTTTTCACAGTTTAGTTTGTATGTAGTCAAGATCAGCTAGTGGACATTCACACCAAATCTCTTCCTCGACAATGGTTTCTTGATCTAAGATCCAAGCTTTCACTTCAACCTTCTCTGTTTAGCTTGAGGAGGTGTGAAGAGACTAATAGAGAGTCAAAAGTTATTTAGAGTTACTATAGTAATAATTCTTTTACTTTTCCTCTGTGGTAACTTCAGTTAGGTGTTGTTATATATACTCTGTAAAATTATTATCTTGAGTTAATGAAAAAAGATTTCATTTTCCTTAATAGTTAGGATCCCCTGAAAACGATGCTCTGCCTTTCGACAAATTAAGCATTTATGCAAATTGGAAGTGGTTCAAATTCGAAAAGTAATAAGAATCAAACTGATACTTAAGGTTGCCCTGCGATACTGCTAGTTTGAAAGAGCGCTATTTAACCTTCCCATCCATCTCAAAGCAGACATTCCTCGAGAGTTGACAGGTAAGGAAACAAATTATTTTGTTTTGTGATGAGTCTTAGATTAGGGAATTTACCTCATTATCCATTAGAAAATATGTAGTCTGAAAAGGAACAAGCATAAGATGGTTGCAGTACATCATTTTTCACATGGCATTCTGTTTAAAGATTCCAAAAGAACTGGAACCAAACATATTTGTTCGGAAATCAGAGTCTCATTTGTTAGTTGGTCATTGCTTTCACTTCTTCGATCTTCATCTGTAATTGAACTCAACCTCATGTCCTAATTATTTGTGCAATCCATGTATTCATCACCTAACTATTTTCCAAAGCTTGGTTTGTGTTATTTTTCTCTTACAATGCTACAATGCATCATATGTCATGTCCTAATTAGTATGCATCTTTTAAAAAATCGAATCCATACCGTTTTGTACCAAAACAAAACCAATTCTGAAAAGTTTGGTACAACTTCGGCACACCCTTACATACTGAACTGAATCCTACCAAATTGTAATTTGGTTTGTGTTTAGACAGAGTAATGATTGAGATAAAGGAAGGATGTGGCTCAAGATTTCTTGATTTTATGTTAAATGGTACATTTGGTATTTTAGATCTATTTGGGCTATATTGATTATTGTCACCGCTTTCAGGAATGACGTTCTCATTGCAGGATTTGGTCGTAAAGGTACAATACATTTGGGACTCCACAATCCGTGTGTTCAGCTTCCGGACTTCCAGTCCATAGTTGAGAGAGAACGAATTTTCAAAAGATCCAATGTTTGGAATTTTTTTTTGGCCATCATTGACGATGTAAAGATAACTCCATTCTGGATTTCAACATTTGGGGTTTCATTTATATTTATGGATCTTCACAATGACAGACATTACCAAATGTGGGTATTTATCTACCATACTACGTCTTCAGTCATGGACAATTGCACGTGACTTTATCAAGGGGAGTATTGTCGTCTTCAACAAAAATCTTGATGAAGAAAGGAGAATTACATGGTCACGAAGGAGACTTCACAAGAAATGTTGTGCACAAAGATATTTTGCTTCCATCAAATATATGATAAGGTTACATGATTCTTTTAATGTTTAATTCACTTTTTAAATCCACGTAGATAAATACTTTTAAATTGTATAAATCACGCGTAAAACAACATCATTATAAAAGAGTCTTCCGCATGCGTTTGAGCGCGTGCAGGGAGGCTAGTGCTATATGATAAGCTATGCGTGGATGAAGTAATTTATGCTTTACTGTGCTATCACTTGATATGCTCAAGGGGCGGACTATCGTGCTTCATGTAGCCCTACCCCTACCACCATTTTGTAAAGTTGGAGACTACATTCCCATCCTTGAAAAAAATTTATTTTTAATTACGCCTCTTGAAACTCGATTTTGATCTCATTTTGCCCATTATAACTCAAAAGTCACTACTTTATTTTTTGAAACTCAAAGTTGCTTGACCTTACTATGTCTTCATTTCTTTTGTCAAATTCGCTCAATTTTGGTTCCACTTTGCCCTGTAACTTGATTTTGATCTCACTTTGTCACTTGAAACTTAAAGTCGTTATTTTACTCCATAAAGCTCAAAATTCGCTCCACATTGCTTTGCTATCCATGGAATTGGAGCAAATTTTATTATGTGGGTCTGATTTGAATGCACCAGACTAATCAATTTTTTTTTTAATTTTTTTTTCCAGATCTCTGCAACTCAAGCACAACAAGCCAAAAAAATCACAATCCTTAATTTCTTCTTTTAAACATTATTTTCTGACTAATGGATTTTATCACATTGTGGAAATTTATAATCAAATTCATCTCTACTATGTGTTAAAATTCAACAATTTATACTGGAGATAAAATGACGACTTTTGAGTTTCATGGGACAAAGAGGGATGAAAATTGAGTTCCAGGGGACAAAGTGAGATCCAAATGGAGTTCCAGGGAGCGTAGCTAAAAATAAGCCTATAATATTACATTTTTACCCATTCATATCAATAACTTTAACAGCTATTTGTTAGAAGAAACGAAAGCATGATAAAATAGAACAAATTTTATGTTTCAGAGAGTAAAGTGGTTAATTTTGAGTTACAAGAAGTAAAGTAGAATCAAAATTGAATTTTAGAGTCACAGACTCACCGCTGAAAATAAGCCTTATACAAATACCAAAATTGTAAGTATTTGTCGCTTGTGCTACAAAAATTTGATGATGCACTAACTAGATGGTGAGGAAGAAGAGGGGTGTACCGTGTACGTGAGAACGAAGGAGGAAAAAGGGGGATCTAGATTCTAGATGGCGAGGAAGATGAAATGTTGTCTTTAATTTTTTTTAATCTTCTTATTATTATTTTTAAATTGTTTTTAATGGTTTTTATTATTTTAAAACAATTTTTTTTATCATTATTAACGTGGCATTGTGGAACTCTCATGTCTGTCATGTCAGTGCAGTAGCAAAATAATGGACGAAAATAGTAATGGACTGATCAAATTCATTTGCAACAACCAATTCCAAGGATTTTTGACTAATTTTAAAATTAAGGATCAAAATGAGGAGTTAAATTAATTTCAGGAGCATTTGTGATAAAAATTATTTTCTTTTTAATGTTACTTTAGTTTTTTGTTTTTGGGAACTCACGGGCAACTTCCCAGAGGGTCACCCATCCTGGGAGTGCTCTCGCGCGCTACTCGCTTAACTTCGGAGTTCCTACGGAACCCGAAGCCAGTGAACTCCCAAAAGGCCTCGTGCTAGGTAGAGATGAGAATATACATATAAGGATCACCCCTGGGCGATGTGGGATGTCACAATCCACCCCCCTTAGGGGCCCGACGTCCTCGTCGGCACACACGCGGCCAGGGTTAGGCTCTGATACAAAATTGTCACATCCCGGCCCGGGCGGGACGACTTCCCGGGCCCGCTCCACCACCGTAGCACGATATTGTCCGCTTTGGGCTTACCATTCCCTCACGGTTTTGTTTTTGGGAACTCACGGGCAACTTCCCAGAGGGTCACCCATCCTGGGAGTGCTCTCGCGCTCTACTCGCTTAACTTCGGAGTTCCTACGGAACCCAAAGCCAGTGAACTCCCAAAAGGCCTCGTGCTAGGTAGAGATGAGAATATAGGTTTAAAATAGTCATTTTATTTAGAGTATATAAGTAATTAATATGAAATTTTTATGCGAGTTGTAATCAACAAAATGTGCGAGGTAAATACAATAACACTAAAAATAAAATGATGAAACAATACTATAACATTTTTTGTCCAATATCATTTGTATGTATATGTTCGTAATCAAATAAATGGAACAATGTATAGATGTGATTAAAATATCATTGAAATTTAACTACACCATACATGATATATTATACAACAAATTATTGATCAAAACCAAGTAGCAAAGGGGCAACCCGCAACAAAGGTTCCAATGTATTAGGTAAGAATTTTCTAGCAAACAGGAAACACACTGAAGTTGTATTGCCATTGTACGTGCATTTTGATCCGAACCGAATCCGATTCAAAAGCTCATTCGAAATATCAATCCATCCAAATTTTCCAGGATGAGGACCACCTCTTGACCAATCCACCCAAGTAACGCTTCTCTTCGAACTCAACTCAGTGTACAACAAGTTCACAAGTGTTGGAATATAGTGCTCATCAATGTAACAGGGAGGGTTGCAGTACTGTTGAAAGATCGGATAATATTTCCGATCCGAAACAATGTGGACGGCAAGCTCACGGTGCACTTCGAACCACTGAGACCCCTTTCTCCAATTTGTGATGTTTATCATGGGGTACATTTGAGGGTTGTATCGACCCCGGCCCTGGCTTTCTAGGGTCATCAAATGAGTTCAGGAAGCTTTGGTTTGAGTTGATGAGGTAGTCATATGCTGTTGAGAAGTTGAATAAAGGAATGCAGGATTCAGAAAGCAGCACAAATCTTTGGTTGGAGATGTCAAGAAGTCCATTTGCTAAGAGGCGTCTCTCGGCATCTAACATTGATGATGTTCCCCAATAGACCTGGCTGCAACCAAATGAATAGTATTGATCTCAAATGATTGTTACTTGGATAATCCAATGTGATGTATGTATAGCAAAGATTGTTTAATTTCTTTCTTCTATCTGTAGTCAGACTTCAGAATACAGAAACTTAATCTTCACCACAATAGTCTAGAATATGAGTTCATAGTGGCGAGTTTGGGTTAATTGTAACTTTCAACAAGATGGACACATTATGACTTGAAAATGACATGAAGTTTGTAGGTTTGGGTTGATTTTTGCTTTACACAGAGACAAATATATGACACTATCCACACTCTGAACAACAATAATTCATGAAGATCTCTCTTTTTTAAAACAAAAATGACACAGAATTATGCATTTTTATGATATGTGAATGTCTAGTAATTTAATCTGAGTGATTTTTTGAAAAAGAAAACACTAGCTAGAAACATGTTTGATACCAATATCTAAAATGAAAAATGTTTGCAATATACATTACTATCAATCACAAGCATGACATGTTGACAGGACTTGGATATATGAATGCTACAGTTCGAAAATAATATCGATGTTAGATCAATGAGTAGTAATTGCATAAATTATCTGTATGCATATTAATTTGATCAAACATGTTAAAAAACTTCAGTTACAGAAATAGAATCTTTACCACGATGGTGGTTTAAGTTTTCTTGCTAGTTGGGGGATTTTAGGTTCAACTCACATAAACGGCGAGTTTGAAACCAAAGTTAATGTTAGCTCGTTGTGTACTTAGCCCAAGCCCTCTCCAATATAATTGTATGAGAAATAATGAAAGGAGCTAACCTGGCTATGAATTCTTCTACCGTGGAAGACAGAATCTTCAGGCACTGATTCATTGAAATCAGGGTGTGCGTGCACATAAATGGAGTATAGTCCTTCATGTCCCTTGAAAAACTTCTCCCACAAGGGAGACAAAGGTAGAGGTCCCTTTGTCAAGAACATGAAAGCGACTTTCGGAACAAGCTTGTAAGGAAAATATTGAATTCTAGGAACCATTGATGCTCTCCGAAACAACTCCTCGTCACTCATATTGTGTACGAGGAGGTTTTGTTCTGTCAGTGAAACACTTGTATAGTTAGATGTCCCATTCATGGAGAAAGATGGTATTAGAAATGGTGGTGGTGGTGGTAGAGGCGGCGAGGGGAGCAGTTTTGGTGATGGTGGAGGAGGCAGCGGTGGGAACAGTTCTGGTGATGGTGGAGGAGGTGGCGGTGGGATCAGTTTCGGTAATGGTGGTGGCAACAATTGAGGTGGGAACAGTTTTGGTGATGGTGGTGGAGGCGGCGGTGGGATCAGTTTTGGTAATGGTGGTGGCAACAATTGAGCTTGATGTGATGATGATTGTAAAGGAAAGATATTGTTAATGGAATTTAGGGAGGCTTGAAAAGTAGTGAGTGAGAAGCTCTGGAAATATAAGGTAACTATGATACCTAGTGACAAACCTATACCAAAGAATAGGAAATGAAGGACATGGTTTGACTGGATTAGGGTTCGAAAGGGCTGGAAAGTTGATTTAATTTGGGGTTGCTCGTGACTCGCCATTGTCATTGGGCAGATAGGAAAGAAAGAGATCGATTGAGGAAGGAGTTTCCTGACTAGCTTATCAAACTGCTAATAACAAAGTCAAGCTGAACGCTCTTGCAAGTAGGCTTTGTGGGGATATATAGCATGTTCTTAGTGGACTTTCTACATCGTGCTTCAAAGTTAATTAAGCAGGACATTAATAACAAATTAGCCGTAAGTAATCAGTAAAGACCCTTTCGGAGTTTATATCAGTTGGAAATTAAGTTGTCCAAGAACTTGAAGCAACTTCTAACTTGTGTAATCTATGGGTGTTGACAAACCATTCCTTCAACACCAGGCAAAGTAATCAGATAATTTTTTTTTTAAATAACCTATGCTTGTTTTTGAATTGACGTCCCATGAAACACCAAATGATACTTGGTTTTGTCCAGAGGTTTATGCCACCTAGCCCCATATAACAAACAAAAGAGAAGCATAGAGAGGACCAGCACTTTGTTGCTAATCCAAATTATAAATTATAATTAAAAGTTAAAATCCGCCAAATATTAACAGGGGCCGGGACCGAAAACCTATTGGCAAATGTTAATCTCTTTGTATTTTGAAAGGTCGAACACGTTGGTTGGAGTTGACAAATTACAATGGGTTTGGTCGTGGTCCAGCAATTCACTATAAATAGTGGAAATCACCAAACAATATGGCACACATCACCCAGAACGACAAGGATTGTTTGCCCTCACACTTCCGGTGTCCTCCCGTGCCCTCCTGTTTGTGTGGTCGGTTAAGCTACGTCAATATTTTATATTACTAATAATTTTTGTCTTATTATCTCTACAAAAATATATATATATAAAATGTTGACGTGACTTAACCGTGACCACACAAAATAGGAGGGCACGGAAGGGCACCGGAAGTGGGACGGCAGACAATCCTTGTCCCACCCCGAAAGCACTGCTTAAATTAAGCAGCCTCTTTTCTGCTCTTTCTTTTGAAGGGTGACCGGGTTTTAGGTTCTCAATCTTACTTCTTATTCTACAAGTGGGATTTGGTCATCGTCCAACAATTCACTATAAAATATTGAATTAGCTACTATATGTTTATATTGACTAATTAATATACATGCATAATTTTAGGCAAGTGATAAAATAATTATACTAATTTCATTTAAATTTTAAAGAGGGGAGAGCTTTTCATATCTGTAAGTTTGTAACGCATTTTGTTTGAAAATGAAGATTTTTACTTCAGAGTATTCTACCATTTTTGCATATGCATTCAAGAAGCACAAAAAGGAGTTACTACATTTGTAGTCAGATGCAACATTATGTAAACCATAGAAATGATTATATTAAAGGGTAAACTACGCTTTACCCCCTTAGGTTTGGAGTTGATTTCAATTCTTACAATATCTTTAAAACATTTCACTTTCATACCTCATCTACTATTTTATTTCAATATAGTACATCCGTTACATTTTTCATCCATTGATCCGTTAAGAGCTGACGTGGTTGCCAAATTTGTGCCATGGCAAATTTTTTTTTTATTCATTAAAAATATTATAATAATTTACCTTATTTATATATATATATATAAAAAAAAAAAAAAAACTCCAACCCAGAACCCAACTTCCCCCACCCCACCTCCTTTCCTCCACCATCTTCACCTCCCTCGCAACCCCCCACCCCACCCCCACCTCCCTCATAGCCCCCCACATTCTCCCTCTCCTCTCTCTTCACCTCCCTGACCTTCGTCCCCTCCCTTCACCACCAAAACCTCAACTTCTCCCTCTCCGTCACTTTCCCCGACCGCAAGCCCCTCCTCGAAGTAAAACCAAAGACGCACGACGAAGATTGAGAACTCAATTCGAAATCATGTGAGGCGTGTGTGTTGATTTGCCATCGAGTTGTAGGAAGGCTATGGTTGTCATGGTGGTAGGTAGGCTGGGGAGTGAGATAGAGAAATGGGTTGTGGTGGGTCGGGTCAGGAGGGAAACCAAGGATCTGGAAGAGCTGGTGGTAGGGTCACCGGAAAGTGGTGTAGCACATCCAGACACGCTCGTGGATCATGACGTCGTAGGGCAGGCAGAGAATGAATCAGGAAGGGGAGATCTTGCAGGAGTCACAGAGCTTGGAGGGAGGAAAGGGAGGGGACGAAGGTTAGGGAAGATGGGTTGTCGACGAGTTCGCGATGGAGTGGGGGGGGGTTGCGGGGGCGTCGGCCTTGGAGAGAGGAGGGAGAGAGGGTTGTTTAGGGGTTGCAGGGGAGGTAGGGGTAGGGGGATAGGGTGTTAGGGTTGCAGGGAAGGGGAAAGACTTAGGAAGAATATAGGTTTTTATTTATTTATTTTATTTTATTTATGATAATTATTTTTTTTAATGTTAATTTTAATAAATAGGGTAAATTATTATAATATTTTAAATAAATAAAAAATTATTTTTTATGCCATGTAGCACAAATTTGGCAGCCACGTCAGCTCTTAACGGATCAATGGATGAAAAATGTAATAGATGTACTATATTGAAATAAAATAATAGGTGAGATATGAAAGTCAAATGTTTTAAAGATGTTGTAAGGAATTAAAATCGATCCCAAACTTGAGGGGGTAAAATGTAATTTACCCTATATTAAAATTCCACTCTCTTAATATGATGGTTTGCTTGAAGCACAAAGTAACAAGTTTTTTCAATTAATTAAACATCTCTTCAAAGTTATTTAGTACTATTGTGCTATCTTCCGCATTACTTAATCCCACATGTTTATGATTCTTGTCAAGCTGTTAATCCAATTTTTGTAAACTAAACTAGTAAGAGGGCCGGTAATGGTGTGACAATATGTCCCTAATTTTAAAATTTCATTAATTTTAAGAGAGTGAATTGACTGAAAGTGCTCCTAGAGGTGAAATTGTTGACTTTCATTGACTAGTCTTTTCGTGACCCATACGAGTTATTATGTTATCATATTCTCAAAGTACTCGATGGTATGAATGTGTAGGCGCAAGCAGAATCGAAACTCGAGTTACGGTTAACGTTTTATGGATTTACGATGTTCAATGGCATTTTGGTAAATTCATTATTCTAGATAAATACCCTTTATTATTTTAATAATTTTCGTGTAGAATTTTCTGCATGGTAGGACCCACCCATGTGGGTCTCCTATTCCTTTGTCCCCGTGCCATTTCTTTTCCCATACTCTCTCGGATTCCCTCACTTGTATCTCTCTCATCTCTCTTCCCTCGCTTCTCATTTCAAACTCCCTCCTCTGTGCTCTCTATGCAATGCAGGGCAAGCGAGCCCATCGCTGCTTACTACGTTCTCCGGTGAGCCCTCAGGTTACCATACCATTCTATCTCTCTCGTCTGTTCTCTCTCTTTCTTGACCTCTCTCCTTAACCCTCTTTTCTCTATATGAAACACCGAGGAGTTGCAGTGGCCACACCACCGCCAGCCACTCACGACGATGGCCATTCTGGCGAGCCAGATCACACCACCTTGTCGTTTTCCCTCACAAAATCTCTCCCTCATCATTTTCCTTCTTAGTTCACTGATGCACAGCACCACCGCCATCCAATATCGCGAACTCCGGTGAGATTTCCAGTTCTCCCATCAATGTAAGCCTCAGATCACCTCTTCCCTCCTCCTATAATGATTTAGAAGTAATGTTGACGTTGGATGTCTGATTTGGTAAGGTTGATGCAAAAACATCTTGGGGAAGAACTTCCCCAGATTTTGGAAATTTGGACCATGGTCGTCAAGCCACTTTCAGGCTACTTTTCCAGCCAATGCCGACCACGTCTTGGCCTACTCTTGCTATGGATTTGTTTCTCTCGTGCTGAGCTTCATTTTCATATAAATTATGTTGTTTTTTATGGAGAATCGAGCTCGAAATGAGCTCATAAAGTTGGAGGAAAAACACGAAAAAGTATGGAAAACTTACGATGAAGGTGCGTGAGGTGCGCGTGGGTTGCCACTTTCTTCGGCATGTGTGGCGCGTGAGGCGGTGCGTGGAGAAACCCGAGGTCCGTCTATAGGTTTCTCGAAGTGCTAAATCTGAATCTGCCGTCGTTTTTTTGAAATTCGGCCGTTTTAAAATAGTTTCGTTATTAGTCGTACTTTGTACGAAAATGCGTAATTACGTTAGTACATTATATTTACGTAAATGGTTTCGTTTCTAAGGAAACGCATCGCAAGGATCTTCGATGCCTACGAGGTGGTTTCGACCGACAACAGAATCTATGAGTGGATCTTTTCTTTGATATATATATTTGTTTAGTTTTCATATATACATCTAATAATGAATTTTCTATATGACTGCCGTAATTAAATTAACGTTTATGGAAATTAACATAACGATGAGAATTGGAAAATCATTATAAATCTTACGGGATGCCTTAATTAAATTTATGGCTATGAATAGTATTATGTAGACTAGAATTATCGAATCACTGTGGCATGACTATATTTATGTTATATGCTCATCGTTTGCTGCACCGGTGTTAGTACTTGCCCGGACTAG